GAGAGAGAGAGAGATCCCAAACAAAAAATCCTTAAGGGTGAAGAAGTAACGTGAAAACTACCTGCAACCATGGTATACTCCGGAGGGCGGGGTCCGGAGACCAGGCCGCCCCCTGCTGCTGCCCCCGCCCGTTGTTGAGCCGTGCCTGGTGCGGGTAGGATCCGTCAGTCCGCGAGGACGCGCTCATGTCGTATTCAGAGACCACTAGTGATGTGTAGTCTTCCTGCTCCAACCAATTGTCCTCGTCTGAAAATATACAGATACAGATTCAGACCATCTGTCACCTTCCTCAGAGCTATAATATTGGTTTTCTGTGTACTGGAACTAGGTGTTACATGCATATGGTTGACACTGTGCATTGGAGCTAGCTGTTACATGGTTCACTGAAGCTAAATGTTACTGTAACAAGCCTAATACAATTGTGACACATATGAGATAATGTCGTTTTCATGATACTAACCATTTGTGACGTAAACCTCCATGTTCAGGGCCACCCAGCCCTGGTAGCCTGTTGGGTACAGACGGATGTACCGTGCCGTCACAGGGTGGTCCAGGGGACGGCTCACCTTCCTGTGCCGGTCTCGGTTTCCTGGGAACACCTGGGCAAGAAATGGAGAAGGAACACTTCAAGACACTCCGCAGACAAAGGAAGGAGGTTCCGCAAGGTGGCGGGGGAGGCCAGAAGATCTGCACAAGTCTCGACCTAGTCTCGTGTTCTCGCGAGACTAGGTCACTCTGTGCGTGATCAATGATGTACAGAAGACATCGACAATTTGGAGGTATGTGTTTTTACCTTTATAAAAACGTCCCTGTTTGAGGAATATTCTACTTACTGTGATATACACGTGCGTTAGAATGGCACTAAACATGAAATGGTGTTGTTTTCCTTTATTACTTGAGCCTCAGAGAGTGAAGTTTTCGTTTCGCATTGTTTGTTTCTTTGTTTGTGTGGGAGTGTTTGTGGGTATTTGTATAATTGTATGTTAGTGTGTGTGTGTGTGTGTATGTATGTATGTATGTATGTGTGTGTGCAGAGAGAGATAGGGAGAGAGAAGGCGTGTGTGTGTGCCTGTCTATGTGTGTAATTATATGTGCCACAGTGTGTTTGTTTATGTGTGCACCCATGTGTATATTTCTGCACTGCAGGTCCTGTATGCGCTGCTAGATGGCGCACCTGCACGTCACCGTCCCTGCCCGTGTACGGCTCCCACCTCGCACCGTCCGTACTGAATGCCAGCGTGAATGACGTCACCCAGCTGAAATGCTCGAAGGACTGGCTGCCGCCACTGATGATCACGCCGGTCACATTGGTGGTCTTGCCGAAATCAACCTGCATCGAAAGGTATATTAGTCAATACTGTATCACGTCAGTATCATAAAGACTAACTACGCTGACTATAGGTAACCTTGCATCCAGTCTATCGTGGTTGGGTGGTTTCTCTTCGGGGCTGCAGGAGCTCTTACCCGCCCGCCTGAGCTAGGTTCCCCCGGTAGGTCTTTTTTAACGGCGGGAGTTTGATTAGGTCCCATATGTGGTGGGGCGAAATCAACTCCTGGTACGGTCTGGAGAAGGTTGGGAGGACATGGTATAGCTGCGCTCACTCGGTGGCTTCATTCAGTGGTTATAGCAACTGACAAGGCTTTATTACACCTTATTCACCAAATCCCTTTGGCCACACAGTTGTGCAAGCACTACAGCAGGAGGCTAGTCCACTGGCAGTGGTGTGTTTAACTCCCATACCCTTTCTCAAATGCTGAGTGCTAAGCACAGAAAGCTTAATGTTAAAGCTAGCAGGACCTGAATCCACTGATTCTCGGCCTCCCTCGGTGCCCAGCAGGACGTGGCGGTGAGGTCGCCCCCGAGTCGACCGCGGTACGCCGCGAACTCCGACTTCAACTCCGATGAGGCGGTGACGGCATGGTCGGGAATGTAGCGACTCGCCATGCCCACTGGGAATCCAGGGGGAGCAGGGTCTGTTAAGAAGAAAAAAAGTGATGTCAGACTTCACCCCATTGCCCATAATACTTTGCAACCCCACAGCCAAAGTTAGCAGCACTGAGAATATGTCTGGATACGCTGAATGACAGAATTCTAGAAGCACATGCACTCACACAAGTTCTACTGCAGTACCATAGAGAGTCACTGGGAGGCCCATGAACTTACCCTTCATTTTGCCGATATCTACCCTCATACCAAATATCATGCAGATAATTCTATAGCTTCTCGATCTCTAGTAAGGCCATGTTGATTTGATTATATGGATGACACTCTGGGAACCCCAAATCTGATGCAAGCGTGGGAATAAAAAAATAGTTTGGCAAAAAAAGTTACCTTCATTATGTCATGAAGGTTGAACAAATGATTAAACACACAGAGTAAGATTTCATTGGCGTGGTGAATGATAGACTCTTCATTTTCATCCCTTCACATTTTCTTCTTGTCCTTTGGAATGGATTTTAGCATTCTGCGACATAAATATCGTTTTCCAATATTTTCAATTTACGGCATATATTTGCTCATTTTGCAGCTACTTTGTAAGATTCACAGTATAGTCGAAATTTCTAATTTTTTCTTTGGATCGGACGAAAGTTAATGCGCGCGCGGATGTCATCTATATATATAATCACATCAACATGGCCTAATGCTGTTACAAAAAGCACACAAACGGCACTGAAGCCATGCCGTGGGCGTAGGTGATATATTAGTTACCTCCGCAGTCCATCTCGTCCTCCCCTCCGCTGCAGTCCTCCCGCCGGTTACACAAGTCGCGCTCAGACAGGCAGCTGCCGTCCGGGCAGCGGAACTGACGGGCTGCATTGCACCCTATGTGGACGCAGCATTTCATTACTCTTCTTCCTCAACGGAATTTGTTACTCCGTGAAGGAGGTCAGGACCTCCGGACGGAGTGTTGTGAGTAGCCGTTTTTTCGTGTTCGCAGCTAGAACACGGGGTTCTCTTTGTGTAATCGGCATGCAATTTTATACGCCGTCTGCGGGCATGCCCGTGATGATACACATCATATGCATGAATGTGTATTTTTGCCTTTGCTGTTTTCGCGGTCAATGTAATGTTTTTACATTTCATGCTATAGATAAATTAAATTTTATTCTAGAAGGTAATAACCATTACTGTGTACAAATAGGTAAATATATCAAAGAATGAATAGCAAAGTTCATTCTTTGATCACAACCATTTCTTTTCACAAGCCGACGTTTCGATGACCGTCTGTCATCTTCATCAGGGCAATTCTGACTGGTTTACTGTGCACTGACGCTAGATGTTACTTCATAAACTTAGAAGTGAGCAACAGAGACCAGAAGTCAGTGTTAACTAACTGAAACATAATCTGGGGATTGAACAAAATGATATCCAAAAGTAATAATAATTGATAACAGATGAATAACTTAAATGAACTGAGCATAAATGAGATGCAATCCAAAATAATCATAATAACCAAACATAATTATAATACCAAATATTGCGTATTGTGTAACAACTAGTATTTCCTATTCCTACCTCCAATTGTACAGTTGATCTCTTCCTCTCCGCTCGGGCAGTTGGCAACCTCGTCGCAGACCAGGTACTGGGTCAGACAGGAGCCGTCGTCACACTGGAACTGCATGTCGTTACAGGGTCCTGTGACGGTGTGTACAGTCACCATATTAGAAACTGACACAAATATCTGGTAGTAATCTCCAAACAGATGTTGGGTAGATACATGTACAGGTGTAAACGGTTTCAATCCCTCTTCGTCTTCGGGATATTGAAATCGTAACCGACCTGTCGCTACTGCAATTTGCGGTGAAGGACTATCAGAAAAGTCGGTACTAGTCTGTCAAAACAACGGTACGTTTTCTAACCCCAAGATGAAGAGGGATTGTAAATGTTATGTTGCACCGTATGGTGACAGAAGAATTAAAGCCTCCATAGATGGATAGATATTTTTTCAGATAAGGATTTCAAGATTTCAAGCTCTTGCCCATCTTGATTTATGAAGTTTCAGACAGATGAGCGGAGAGAGAGAGAGAGAAGGGGAGAGGAGGAGAGAGAGGGAGGGGGAGAAGGAAAGAGGGAGAGAGAGGGAGGGAGAGAGAGGGAGAGGAGAGGGAGAGGGAGAAGGAAAGAGAGAGGGAGAGAGATACAGACGGTCAGAAGCAGAGATAGAGGGCCTGAGCGGGAGAGCGGCGCCGGAAACAACACTTCACTCCCTTGCCCTGAGGTTTGACAAACAACAGATTGATACTAGGACAAACAGATTCCAACTTACGCTGGCAGTTCCTCTCGTCTTCCCGTAAAGAACAATCCTTGTCCCCGTCACATACCGAGCTGGGGTCGATACACTCACCGCCGGGACACTCCCACATCCTCCGCTCCTCACAGGTCACTGTAGACAAAAAAAAAACAGTGATTAACCCTTCCCCATATCTTTAAAGTTAGTCTCTACCAGACTAACAACGCTGGCTATATATACAGGAGAATATTTTCCGGGGGAATTTGGCTGCCCCGAAGCGCGGTACTTGAGGCCTGCTTGGCGGCCCGAAACGCTCTCGGCGCCGAAGGAATAGCGCTGAGCTCACGGCGGTCTGGTAACCAGGCTAGTACAAACGACGGTAAGGAGAAACTTACTGCATAACAGTTCGTCCGAGCCGTCCCCACAGTCGTCGATGCCGTCACAAATAGCAGCGGACGGCACGCACTGGAGGCTGGTCTCACACCGGAACTCCGCACTGGTGCACTCTGTTTGGAGACAAGTGCACAGGATAGTCGTCGTGATAGTGTACAATACAAGGTCTGCACACGTGTTTGTATTTGTGTTACGTGCGTCTTGTGCATATTTCCATGTGCACAGGCGCTCGTGTGTGTCTCTTTGTGTCAACAAACAAAATAAGCAATTCCCTACTGAATGCATTGGCGGAATTTTTAGAATATTTCCAACCAATCGCAGAATTATACAAACGGCTCCGCCCCTGAAGCGTCGCCAAAAAATAGCACGTCTCACCACAGCGCGCCTCGTCGGAGTCGTCGTCGCAGTCTTCCACGCCGTCGCAGCGGGCGGAGTCAGACACGCACATGCCGCTGCCGCAGGCGTACTCCCCGGGCAGGCACCACGGCTCCTCGGCCGCGCTCACTCCGCAGGTCTCATCCGAGCCGTCCCCGCAGTCATTCACCGCGTCACACACGCGAGACCACGGCACGCAGATGCTCGAGGACTAGACAGACATCAAATGAATAGTTGCTTCTTAGTTGCAACCATTATTGGGATAGTTGCTACTTGAATGTGTCGTCGAGTGCCTAAGTAGCAAGCTATAGGGGGGCCTGCATGCCCTTTTTCGTAAGGCGTAATCAGGCCTTTTTATATAGTCGTCGTAATCTGTAGGCAGCCTCCCGAAAAATCAACGTAATCCGTAATAATATACCTGTTCTAAGGTAGCGTTTCTTGTGTTTATAGTTAAATAGCAATGATAGTTAAATTGCGAAGATTGATAAACGGTAATTGGTAAAGAGACTAATGCCAACAGTTTTTAATGTGTAAAAAAAGTACTCAAATCAGCCGATCAAAATTATCAAACAAGAAGCCATAGGCGACAATTCTCCGTGAAGTATTATATATTGCAACAAAAAGAAGTAGCCATTGGCGACAATTCTCTGTGAAGTGTGATAAATCGAACAAAGAAAAATTGTTTAAACGCGCGTCGGCTCAGTCATCTTAAGACGCAACAACCAATCAGAGATGCGAGATGCCTACACGTGACGCGGGAAGGGCGCGCGATGCCCGAAATATTTTTGCGTCAATATTCAGCGCCGTGATTCAAGAGATTAATACCCGGAAACAATTTTTTTCTTGTTTTGAACGCATTAACATGCATTTACGCTAATCTAGTATGATTCAGGGTTACTTTTTTTTTAACCTGCCATGGCCAGATTATCTAAAGATGTGTGTATTGTGTGTACAATCTATAGAAAGAGAAATGTACATCAGGTCCGATCACCCGATTTTCACGTTTCGGTTTTTTGGACTCGGTTCATGAACGTATTTTGGTTTGGCTAATGGAATGTGCAAAAAAATGACTCCCGGGACTGTCTACAGGGAACACTCGCACATTCGCGGTGTATCAGGACAGCGCGACTGGTCGTCATTATTATGTGATACCCTGCATCAATTCAGCCGTAAGGCTGCGACTGCACGGGTACTGTTTGGACAATAAAAACCATTTATTATTATTATTATTATTATTATTAGCGCAGTAACAGTTGCATAAACGGACGAAACCATTTCAAAGAAATGGGGATGTTTCGAAAATAAGCATTTACTCCAATATCAAAACAGCTACGGTAAAAATAAAAAGACGTGCATCATCCCGGACATAATGCAACACCACATGCGAAATTACACAGAAATGCGACGTACGGAAGAATGCGTTTTGGCTGCGAACATCTTCCAAAAAACTTGGCATCTCTTAACCATGGGCAAAAACATCTGGAACCACTTATAAAAACCACCCCGTATCTGCATGAACTTTTTTGAACCCCACTGCTATTCCAAACAACGCGTTTTTCTGGACCATTCCAATTCGCCTCGTAATTGTAGGGGTGCGTCTGCGATATTACATTGACCGCGAAAGCAGCAACGGCAAAAATACACATTCGTGCATCAACACGGGCATGCCCGCAGACGGCGTATAAAATTGCGTGCCGATTACACAAAGAGAACCCAGTGTTTTGACTGCGAACATGAAAAATCAGCCGATTACAACACTCCGTCCGGAGGTCCTGACCTCCTTCACGGAGTAATAAACCATTCATTCATAACCATAGTCTCCACCAGACTTCTTTTCAAGGCTGAATAAATCGTAGCAATCGGCCTAAAAGGGTATTAATTGGCAAGAGAAGGTAGCCGGCCAGAGAAGCTACATTTGCCCGCGAGAAGTCTGTATGAAAAGGCATAAAAGTAAATTCCCCTCATCTACGGAACAAGGACAGTAGCTTAGCACCTCAGATCATTAAGGCTAAGGCCATAAACAACCCGGCGTGCAGGCCCGCGCGGGCAAATGGAGCTTCTCTGGCCGGCTACCTTCTCTTGCCAATTAATACCCTTTTGGGCCGATTTTTGTGATTTATTAAGCCCGCAAAAGACGTCTGGTGGAGACTACATAACCATGGTTGGCGGGCGTTCGGTAGCCCAAATTCGTGAATGCACTAAGGACGTCAGTATACACATCTGTGTATAATGTCCTTGGTGAATGTGTATGTGCCAGGACACACATATGAAGCAGTTTGAGAGTGCTATTGCTTCTCACACACAAGTGTTTTATTACACCTTTTCACATATTTTATGCCATGTCAAAATGGCATTTTTTCCTATAGTCTATATTAACGTACCTCACACTGAAATTCGTTGGCGGAACATTCGGAGCAGAACTTCTCGTCTGAGCCCCCCGGGCAGTCTGGTCTGCCGTTGCACCACAGGTAGGACGGGATGCACTGCCCCCCTCCCCAACAGTCGATACATCCACCTGACCCGCAATCCTTCTCATCCGAACCGCGAACACAGTCAACAACACCTGCAGGGAATATTCTTAGATGAAAAAAAGGTAGCCTTTATACCCTGGATGCCGCTAGCAATTACCTTCGGCAGCCAGGAGCCCCTTCATCCGCGGGTCTAAAAAAAATTACCACTACGGGGAGACTAGCCCGGGAGGAGTTTGGCTGGCCCTCTCAAACAAACCCCTCGGGCTCAACTGCCCCGTAGCGGTATTTTACATAGGCGGGCGAAGGGCTCTTGGCTGCCGAAGGAAAACTGCTGACGGCCCGATACTAGTTATTTGGCATCCAGGGTATAGCCTCTACGGCTTCGAGAAGCGGCTGGAAAGAGTAGTAATTGGCCAAATAACAGACAGATGATATGCCAGGAAGGTAGTCCAATGGGCCTGCTGAAGTGTATAGTTTGTAGATCTTTGTAACCTGGCGTCCAGTCTATCGCGGTTTGGGAGGGTTTTCTTCGGGGCTGCTGAAGCTCTTCTCCGCCCACCTGAGCTAGGTTCCCCGGTAAGGTAATTTTGCACGACGGGAGTTTGATTAGCCCCGCTGTAACAATGGGGTTTTAAATGCGCTACCTACTGACCGGGTTGATTGGTCTAGACCTTTTAGCCGAATCGGATTGTGAACTGGTGCCCGGCCGTTTGGCGTGGGTTCGATCCAAGGCCCGGAACCAGGAGTGTCTTTCTGTTTCTACTCTCTTAAGTCTTACACCACTACGATCCACTATCCCTGATACATACCGTCACACCACGACTCGGCGGGTATGCAGATGCTGTCCAGTTGTTCCTCACACTTGGTCGGCCTATCCGGGGCGTTACAGATAGCCACAATGTACGTGCACTCTTCGTCCCCGGGACTCGCCCCTTCAGGACAGATCAGCTTGTCGGCCGCACACACGGACACCAAACACGCGCAGCACACCAACACAACCGCACCTGGCGCCATGGTCGGTGCAAAATGAACGTGTCACGATATACTATACACTATACCTTAGCCTCTAACACGCTCTTTGAGCTAATGAAAAAATAGTGATCATGAAAATTGGCCAAATTCAGTGGAAGAATAGTACTCAATACTCCAGAGGAAAAAGTTGTATGTATTCAAGTGTAGCTGACGTGTATTATCCATATATTTTGGCACATTTTGGCTGTTTGTTTTGCAGTCCAAGTACAAGTAGTCTGGTAGAGACTATTACATCAAAAATGTTAAGCACACTGAGCGCTCTTTCGAAGTAATGAACAAGTTGTAAAATATGTTTGCGAGTGTTTGGAACATTGCTGGGGTTACGACTGAAGGATAAACCTAGGATTGCTTCGCATATCTCCAAGCAGATGCAGGGTCTGGTTCAGTGTTTTTCCCGTATTTTTTCTGCGTCTTTCCAGTATCCCCCGCTTTTCAACGTACAAGTGTGGGGTATATGCATGGGGTGTGTCTGCCTGAAATATGAAGAAAGAGCAACTTATCGTTGCAAGTGTGCTGTGTCACTATTGTAAATAGTCTGTTGATTAAATTTCGCATCAAAAGAAACAACAAATAAATATTTCATGACTTCTCTACAAACCATGAATTGATATTGTGGTGCGTGCCGCGCTACATCAAATTAGTGGAATTCGGTTTATTAAAAAGCTTGCTCGAATTGTTTTTGAAAGGCTGCGTATGTGGCGGTGTGTGTGTGCAAGTTTATGTGTGTGTGTGTGTGTGTGTGTGTGTGTGTGTGTGTGTGTGTGTGTATGTGTGCGTGTGTTAGTGAGTGCGTGTGTCTGTGTGTGTGTGTGTGTGTGCGTGCTTGCGTGCGTGTGTGCGTGTGTTGTGTGTGTGTGTGTGTGTGTATTGTGTGTGTGTGTGTGTGTTGTGTTTGGAGGACAATCACTATTTCCGACTTCTGAACTCCGAATGCACCAAAGGTCACCAAAGGTCAATAGCCGAAAACACATAATACTTCCGGGTTAACCAACCGCGACTTCCTGTTTCCTGAGAGAGGCAAACGGCGTGGTCGAGAGAGTGTTCCATCCTTTCAAAGATCACGATATTCACCGTAAAGATTGTTAGAGCCGGCTGGCGTTTCGTGTGCAAGGATAGGCTTCAACTGTGTTCAGGTAAGAGGGATCAATGTATTTTGAAAACCAACGGTTCTAGATTTCGATTATAAAGATTATAAAATAAATTTTTGATGCTGCCACGTCTTGTAGGGGTCCCGTTATAAAAAAAATGCCTGTTTCTGTCGTCTGTGGCTGTTGAAAAATGGACCATACTTTAGGGGAGGAAGTTTTAGAAAACATTCGTTTGAAAGATTGCTATTTTAGGCACGAAAACTGAGGGAGAACAGTATAGGAATGTATAAGATAACACAAACAAAAGGGTCATGAGGGGTTTACAGAAGTTCGTCTATTTGATTTTTAGGCTATTCTTTCTAAGACTAGTGTATCTAAGTGATAACACCTATATACACATAGTTCATAGGCGTAAGATAAATTTATACTCGTATAAAGGGCGGCGCAGTTGATATATAAATATACTTTATAAGGTATTCTCAAAGCCCCTTCGTCCGCCCCGTAGCCGGAAACTTCCCGCCATTTTGACATCTGGTATTTATTATGGAGTGTATGGAATTTTGCGGGGCTGTTCAGTAATAGTTGCTAATGCCCCCAATGTAAATCTAGGTCTTTACAGTATGGCAAGTTTGGGGAGGGTTCACTATTTGTCAATATGCTTAATGTCAGCAGATACATAAAATCTAACAAAAAGGTTCATATTATCAAAGTGTATGTGTCAGCTTGGTAACCCTCATACCCACAAAAAAGTAAGGTCTTTATTTTATGGATGTCATCCTCTGAAGACCCCCAAACTAGGCGAATAAAACAAAATTCCGGCCAAAAATAAAATACTACTAAACCTCAGGAATACAAATTTATTGTGAATTTGCCGCAGTATAGTATACATAGTGACGTATACGTAGCCGGCACATGCTAGCTTTTTGCGGATCTGCGGAGTTTATGAAACAGCACTGTATGTATGTACTGAATTCTTGAGTCATGGAGCTTCGGTAGCATATGGGTGCCATCCTCCAGAGTTACCACCTCCGTATTGTTGCTAACTATAATGGACTGCTGGGTAGCAGGCCTAGAGCCAGGCCAGAGCCTTTTTTTCTTCTTTTTTTCTGAGAACAGGCGAAAATCAATGCGCGTGCGGATGTCATCCATAGAATCAAGGGTAAAATTAAGTCAGTGTGGCTTAATGCCAAATGAACAAGCAAATTAGAATTTGACCAGAACAAAAAACAGAAACTTTGTGAGAGAACAACAGCCAATATATACAGTTGAGAACTGTAGACTGAAAAAGAAGGCAAATGATTCGTCCTATGATCCAGAAAATTGCCATTTTTAAGTAGGGGCCCCAACAAACAAGTAACGCAACCATGAATCTGATGTGTGTTGCTTTAAAAAAAATGATTGTTCAACTTGTCTCTACAGAACCAGATACACAAAGATGGCAACAACAAACAACAAGCTGAGTTTGAGTATCAGGAGCAAGGCAAAGAAGGACTCTTCTGTGGTACCTACCAGAGGACAGAAACACTACAGTTGTGAGGAGTGCAGTAAGCAGTTCAATGAGCTGAGGGATCTAAAGAGACACATGCGCACTCACACAGGGGAGAAACCCTACAAGTGTGAGGAGTGTAGCAGGCAATTTCGTCAGCTGGTTCATCTGAAGACCCACATGCGGACTCATACTGGGGAAAAACCCTACAGATGTGAGGAGTGCAACAGGCAGTTCAGTGAGCTGGGTACCCTGAAGATGCATATACGGACTCATACAAGGGAGAAACCCTACAGATGTGAGGAGTGTAGTAGGCAGTTCAGTGAGCTGGGTAATCTGAAGAGACACATGCAGACTCACACGGGTGAGAAACCCTACAGGTGTGAGGAGTGCAGCAGGCAGTTCAGTGAGCTGGGTACCCTGAAAATCCACATGCGGACTCACACAGGTGAGCAGCCCTACAGATGTGAGGAGTGTAGCAGGCAGTTCAGTGAGCTGGGTAATCTGAAGATTCACATGCGGACTCATACAGGGGAGAAACCCTATAGGTGTGAGGAGTGCAGCAGGCAGTTCCGTCAGTTGGGTAATCTGAAGGCACACATGCGGACTCACACAGGGGAGAAACCCTATGGGTGTGAGGAGTGCAGCAAGCAGTTCAGTGAGCTGGGTAAACTGAAGAAACACATGCAAACTCACACTGGTGAGCAGCCCTACAGGTGTGAGGAGTGTAGCAGGCAGTTCAGTCAGTTGGGTAGCCTGAAGAAACACATGCGGACTCACACAGGTGAGAAACCCTACAGGTGTGAGGAGTGCAACAAGCAGTTCAGTCAGCTGGGTAATCTGAAGAGACACATGCGGACTCATACAGGTGAAAAACCCTACAGATGTGAGGAGTGCAGTAGGCAGTTTAGTGAGCTGGGTAGCCTGAAAATCCACATGCAGACTCACACAACCCTACAAGTGTGAGGAGTGTAGCAGGCAGTACTAGTTCAGTCATCTGAGCCACCTAAAGATAGTCATATAGATTCACACAAGGGATACAACCTTAGAAGCAAGTTTGAGATCATAGTAGAATGTTGAACTTTATTCCAACACACAATTGTACAGGGATCAAATTTTCAGTCGCGTTTGTCAGGATAATTAATGACCAATCACCTCACAACGTGATATCGCGACAGTTACGGTTTACAAACACGTGACCTTATTCACACGAGAACTGATACGTGATGTGAGCAATTGATAAAAAATGCCACCATCTCTATTAATGAAGACTCAATGCTCTGATATATATGGCCTCCTTGATGCCTCTTAAAAAGTAGTCCTGTTCAGTGTCCAGTATTCTGACAACTTTGCTTTTTTTTGAGATCGTTGATGTTTAATTGTGGTGGCAATATTGTCTTGCAGGTATGTGTAGTAGTACTTGGATCTACTAGAGTACTACTAGTATTTGCAAGTGGATTTCCTACATTGAAATTTTTTAGGTTCCTAAGTAAGATTCGTAACACATTAGGTTTGTTTCATATTCAACATTATTCATGTTAACGTGCATGCTATTTTGTTACTTAAACTTATCTATTTAGTTACTTACTTAGCCCTGTTACTTAGCCTGGAATAGTCTAATAGGTAGAATTATTTAGAGGTGTAATTGTTGGTTTTATTGTTTTGGTACATTGGTTTTTCATAAACATTGTTTACGTTAATGTGCATGCTATTTTATTACTTAAGGATGTCAATTGTGATACTATAACCTGTTACTTAACTCTACATTTGACTGGAATATTCACATAGGTAGACTATGGAGGTCAAATTATACCTCCATGGGTAGACTTAGAGATGTTATTTTTGGTTTTATTGTTCTGGACATTTGTTCAAGTCTTTCTTTTTTCTTCAATAAAGTTGTTTGTTTGATGAACACTTGTTTTGAGCAGGGCTCCAGACTAACTTTTTGACTTAGGTAAAGTCCAGGCTCATCCACTGAAGGATAAAATCCAACAGTAAGTTTGCTTACAATTTGACAGAATATCAATGAATGTTTGACACCCAGGTAGAACTTTGAAATCCACAATTTGCTCCAAGTAATTACGCTAGGGGGCGCCAAAAGTCAAATTAGCGCCCTTGGACTCCAAGTTGGAGCAAATTGTGCACTGGCAAAAAACGCCCCTGCAATTCCAACGCAAGCTGCTAGAGACATCAAATTTACGTCACTTCATTCTTACCTTAACAGCTTTCAACCACATAAAAATCATGACCTTTGCATGTTTAGAACAGGAGATATAAAGCCCGGAAGGTCGGCTGCAGTATCAAAAAGCGCCGCTAGGGGGTGCCAAAAGTCAAATCAAGTGGCCCGCGTATTTTTTCAAAAGAGTAATGTCTCATGAATATTTGTACCAAGTTTGGTGCTTGTAAAGATTCCTCCAAAATTTGATGTTATCTGCTCCACTATTTTTTTAAATCGGTCCAATGGTCTGCATATGTGGCGGTGTGTGTGAGTGTGTGTGTGTGTGAGTGTGTGTTTGTGTGTGGGACTACTATCACTATTTCCGACTTCTGAACTTGTTCATCTCATTAATAAGGCCAAAGGTCACATGGAAGCCGCAAACACAGAATACTTCCGGGTCAACCAACTGCGACTTCCTGTTTCCTGAGAGAGGCAAACGGCGTGGTCGACAGAGTTTTTCGTCCTTTCAAAGATCACGATCGTTTGAGAGAGCCGGCTGGCGTTTCGTGTGCAAGGATAGGCTTCAACTGTTCAGGTAAGACGGATTGTTGTTTTGATATCAATGGTTGTATGTTTTGATAGAAAAGTGAAGCGGATCTGTTTACTCGAAAAAAATTATGTTGATGCTTTTAGGGTGTCCCGTTATAACTTGTAAAGCCAGTTTTCTGTCTGTGGCTGTTGAAAAATGTTTAGGGGAGGAAGTTTTAGAAAACATTAGTTTGAAAGATTGCTATTTTAGGCACGAAAACTGAGGGAGAACAGTATAGGAATGCATATTTAACGCTAACACAAATAACAAGGGTCATGAGGGGTTTACAGAAGTTCTTCTATTTGATTTTTAGGCTATTCTTTCAAAGACTAGTGTATCTAAGCGATAACACCCATATACACATAGTTCATAGGCGTAAGAAAATTTATACTGGTATAAAGGGCGGCGCAGTTGATATGTAAATATTGAATACTTTAGAAGGTATTCTCAAAGCCCCTTCGTCCGCCCCTTGGCCGGAAACTTCCCGCCATTTTGTCATCTGGTATTTATTATGGAGTGTCTGGAATTTTGCGGGGCTGTTCAGTAATAGTAGCAAATGCCCCCAATGTAAATCTAGATTTGTGCAGTATGGCAAGTTTGGGGAGGGTTCACTATTTGTCAATATGCTTACTAGTAATGCCAGCAGATACATAAAATCTATCAAAAAGGTTCTGTTCAAGTTCAATCAAAGTGTAACGTTATGTGTCATTACAAAGTCAGCACAGGCAGACTAAGCTGGTAACAGCTGACCCATTCAAAAGTAAGGCCACACCATCTTAATTTTATGAATGGCATTCTCTGAAGACCCCCAAACTAGTGGGCACAAAAAAATACAGCCAAAAATAAAATGCTACTAAACCTCAGCAATACAAATTTAAAGCTGGTATTGTGACTTTGCGGCAGTATAGTATACATAGTGACATATACGAAGCTGGCACATGCTCGCTTTTTGCGAAGTTTATAAAACCGCAAGACGAACTGAATTCTTGAGTCGTGGAGCTTTGGTAGCATCAGTGCCATCTTCCAGAGTTACCACCTCCGTATTGTCTCTAACTAAAATGGACTACCAAGGCCTAGAGCCTTGGAGGACGTGACTTTTTTTTTTTTTTTTTGAGAACTGGCGAAAATCAATGCGCGCAGATGTCATCCATAAAATCAAGGAGTATAGAATAAAGTTGGTGTGGCCTAAAACGAAATGAACAAGCAAATTAGAATTTGACCTTCAGAGTCAGACAGGAACTTTAAGAGAGAACAACAGCCAATACATACTGTTGGGAACTGTAGACTGAAAAAGAAAGTAAATGATTCATCCTATGATCCAGAGAATTTCCATTTTTAAGAAGTGGCCTCAACAAACAAGTAACGTAACTATGAATCTGACGTGTGTTGCTTTTTTTTTTATAAAATGATTGTTCATCTTGTCTCTACAGAAGTTGACCAGATACACGAAGATGGCAACAATAAACAACATGCAGAATTTGGATGGTGTCAGCAGCAAGGCAAAGAAGGATTCTTCTGTGGCATCTACCAGAGGACACAAACCCTACAGGTGTGAGGAGTGTAGCAGGCAGTTCAGTAAACTGGGTAGTCTGAAGAAACACATGCGGACTCACACAGGTGAGAAACCCTACAGGTGTGAGGAGTACAACAAGCAGTTCAGTGAGTTGGGTAATCTGAAGAAACACATGCGGACTCACACGGGTGAGAAACCCTACAGGTGTGAGGAGTGTAGCAAGCAGTTCAATACTTCTGAACATCTGAAGACTCACTTGCGGACTCATACAGGAGAGAAACCATATAGGTGTGAGGAGTGCAGTAGGCAGTTCAGTCAGTTGGGTAGCCTGAAGATACACATGCGGACTCACACAGGGGAGAAACCCTACAGGTGTGAGGAGTGTAGCAAGCAGTTCAGTACTTCTGAACATCTGAAGAAACACATGCGGACTCACACGGGTGAGAAACCCTACAGGTGTGAGGAGTGTAGCAGGCAGTTCAGTACTTCGGGACATCTGAAGACTCACTTGCGGACTCATACAGGGGAGAAACCATATAGGTGTGAGGAGTGCAGCAGGCAGTTCAGTCAACTGGGTGATCTTAAGAGTCACATGCGGACTCACACAGGTGAAAAACCCTACAAATGTGACGAGTGCAGTAGGCAGTTTAGTCAGCTGGGTAATCTGAAGACTCACATGCGGACTCACACAAGTGAGAAACCGTACAGATGTGAGGAGTGCAACAAGCAGTTCAGTGAGTTGGGTAATCTGAAGAAACACATGCGGACTCACACGGGTGAGAAACCCTACAGGTGTGAGGAGTGCAGCAGGCAGTTCAGTACTTCTGAACATCTGAAGACTCACATGCGGACTCATACAGGCGAGAAACCGTATAGGTGTGAGGAGTGCAGTAGGCAGTTCAGTCATCTGGGTAATCTGAAGACTCATATGCGAACTCACACAGGTGAGAAGCCCTACAGATGTGAGGAGTGTAGCAAGCAGTTCACTGAGCTGGGTAATCTGAAGAAACACATACGGACTCACACGGGTGAGAAACCCTACAGGTGTGAGGAGTGTAGCAGGCAGTTCAGTGAGCTGGGTACCCTGAAAATCCACATGCGGACTCACACAGAAGAGAAGCCCTACAGATGTGAGGAGTGTAGCAGGCAGTTCAGTCATCTGGGTAATCTGAAGAAACACATGCGGACTCACACAGGGGAGAAGCCCTATGGGTGTGAGGAGTGCAGCAAGAAGTTTAGTCAGCTGGGACATCTGAAGACTCACATGCGGACTCACACGGGTGAGAAACCCTACAGGTGTGAGGAGTGCAGCAGGCAATTCAGTCAGCCAGGTAGCCTGACAAAACACATGCAGACTCACACAACCCTACAGGTGTGAGGAGTGTAGCAGGCAGTTCTAGTTCAGTCATCTGAGCCACCTAAGGAGTCATATAGATTCACACAAGGGATAAACCTTAGAAGAAAGTTTTACGATCATAGAACGTTGAACTTTATTCCAACACACAATTGTACAGGGATCAAATTTTCAGCGACCACTGTCGCCTTCAGCAGGATAATTAATGACCAATCACTTCACAACGTGATCTCACGAGAATTTACAAACATGTGACCTCACCTTATTCACACAAGACTTTACTGATACGTGATGTGAGCAATTGATCAAAAGTGCCAGGGAGTTTATTATATCATCCACCATCTCTATTAAGAGAAGGCTGAAGTGCTCTGATATATATGGCCTCCTTAATACCTCTTATAAAGTAGTCCTGTTCAGTGTCCAGTATTCTGACAAGTTTGAGATCATTGATGTTTAAATGTGGTGGCAATTGTCTTGCAGGTATATGTATAGTATACATGTAGTAGTGCTTCGGTCTACTAGAGTACTACTAGTATTTGCAAGTCGATTTCCTACAAGATTCGTAACACATTAGGTTTTGTTTCATATTCAACATTATTCATGTTAACGTGCATGCTATTTTGTTACTTAAACTTATCTATTTAGTTACTTATTTAGCCCTTATACTTAGCCTGGAATAGTCAAATCGGTAGACTTAGAGGTGAAATTGTTGGTTTTATTGTTTTGGTACATTTGTTTTATCATAAACATTGTTTACGTTAATGTGCATGCTATTTTATTACTTAAGGATTCAATTGTGATACTATAACCTGTTACTTAACTCTACATTTGACTGGAATATTCACATAGGTAGACTATGGAGGTCAAATTATACCTCCATGGGTAGACTTAGAGATGTTATTTTTGGTTTTATTGTTCTGGACATTTGTTTGTTCAAGTCTTTCTTTTTTCTTCAATAAAGTTGTTTGTTTGATGAGCACTTGTTTTGAGCAGGGCTCCAGACTAACTTTTTGACTTGGGTAAAGTCCAGGCTCATCCACTGAAGGATAAAATCCAACAGTAAGTTTGCTTACAATTTATATATTTACAGCTTGCTCGAAGTGTTTTTTGAAACCTCCAATGGTCTGCGTATGTGGCGGTGTGTGTGCATGTGTGTGCGTGCGTGCGTGTGTGTGGTGTGTGTGTTTGTGTGTGGGACCACTATCACTATTTTCGACTTCTGAACTCCAAATGCACTTGTTCACCTCATAAAGGCCAAAGGTCACATAGAAGCCGCAAACACAGAATACTTCCGGGTTAACCAACCGCGACTTCCTGTTTCCTGAGAGAGGCAAACGGCGTGGTCTGGCCAGTGTTTCATCCTTTGAAAGATCACGATCGTTTGAGAGAGCCGGCTGGCGTTTCGTGTGCAAGGATAGGCTTTAACTGTGTTCAGGTAACAAGTTAATTGACAGAATATCAATGAATGTTTGACATCCAGGTATAACATTTAAAAGTACTTCAAAACTGCATGGAATATTTCACATTAATATTAAAGTATAAAATTTCCATCATGATCATAAATGTTAATCAGGGCTCGAAATTCATTTTTGGGAATTGGTGCACCCAACCTAAAAAATTGGGTGCACAAAAATTTTTGGGGTGCACCAAATAAAATAAGTAGAATGTCAGCAAAAACTAATTATGTTTCATTTCTAAAGAAAAGTACTATGACAATGATTTTATTATTTTTCTGACACTTGAGATGTTAAGAATATGTTGTATACTTTTATACATTTAACATCTAAAATGTAAACCTACAAAAATATCTGGGTGCACTGGTGCACCCAGAGAAATAGATTGGGTGCACAGCTCCAAATTTGGGTGCACTAAGGTGCACATGCACTCAGTATTTCGAGCCCTGTTAATGTTATTCAAATGGCCAGTTTCAGACAATCAACACCACCATGCATAAGCAAGACTAACCTTTGGTTGTTTGTCACACAGCATTCCAGATCAGTTACCGAAGGACGCACCCTACAAGAACAACAGCTACCGGTGCCAGAGGTATCCTACCCCCGAGTTCCTACCCATAAAGTGCCAACTGAAGTTCAGTTCATTCCAGGGCATAAACTTAAAGGTAAATCTGTTATGTTGACAGTTTCAATGGTTAATTCTCCAAGCAGATGTTGGGTGGTCAAGATTGTGACCTTTTCTGACTGTAACATCGGGGTTACTAAGATAATTAACTGTCAGAGAAGCCCAGTCTTCAGTAGAAAAATGCAAATGATCTTCCTCCCCAAAGTGTGCTTGGAGATATGGTTAGTTCTGAAGAGGGGAGCAGAGATGCCTTCAGGTTGATATAGTTTTTTTTGTGTGTTGTAAAACTCCTGGGACCAATTCTGAACAAGAAAATTCAGATTGACATGTTTAAAATGTTTTACTCCTATTGGAAGTTGGAACTATAGTTTGTATTTTACTCTCACAAGCTAACCAGACAATGGTACTTTATGTTACAGCTTACTAGTGTAGACATCACAGTTTTTGTACAATTACATTATTTACATGTAGATGGGAATTACTAAGAAACACAGTCCTATCGGACGTTGTATTCTATAATGACTGTTGATATTCGAATTAGGTAGATGATTTTTCTGGTAATTTTTTTCTAATCTGGAAGATGTAGAGGCATACAAATGTCAGCAAAATGGAGTATACAACCTATATATTAATATTCAAACAGCCAGTTTCAGACAATCAACACAACAATATTATAAAGACTGTTGTAATTTAAAACTGTTTTTTGCATTGAATGTATAAAAGAACAGAATCTAAGCACAGCAGTAAACAACAACTTGTGACAGGTAAAATTAACATTTCCTGCCTTAAACAAACACGTCATTCGGAACTGTTCCAAATGACTCTTAGGCCAGGCCAAATTAATTTCTTATTTTTTGTTTTACGTTTCAAATTAATCAATTTAGCAAAGGGCTGAATCAAAAACAAAATGAGTGCTGAAAGGACCATTTCAGTCTGACTAAATTTAATTCTATTTCTCCTGTGTGATCTAAGACTTTCTCTTATGTCAAGGTATGAGTCTCTATTTTCATGTTTATTTTCCAGTTGAGTAGTATTTATTAAAATTCAAACTTGAGATAATTCTAAACATATTGTTAGCATCACTTTACAGATGAGCTTTCTGTTCTGCTTAGCAGTGGCAGGACACCATGGGAAGAAAGCTGCGATGTGTGCTGATTTTCCTTCTCATCATTCTGAAGGAGCAAAACATGTCAGAAGGCTGCAGATGTGAACCATCATCTACCTGCAGATGCTCCAAACAGGGCCTCACCAGCATCCCTCAGAACCTCCCTACATCTATCACTACCTTAGAGTTAGAATGTAATCTTATCACAGCTGTAACTTGCTCAGAGCTGTTACAGTATAGGAATTTGACCAAGTTGATGTTTGGAGAAAATCGCATTGGCATTGTTGACTGTTTCCCCAATTTACGTCATCTCAGACAGTTGGACCTTTTCAAAAATAACATAACAATGATTAAGTCAGGTACATTTGCAAATCTACCTAGGCTACAGAAGTTGAATCTGCGATACAACCAGCTTACGATGATTCAGACTGGAACATTTGCAAATCTACCTGGGCTACAGAAGTTGAATCTGCGATACAACCAGCTTACGATGATTCAGACTGGAACATTTGCAAATCTACCTGGGCTACAGAATTTGGACCTGGCATACAACCAGATTACAAGGATTTATTCAGGTACATTTGAAAATCTACTTCAGCTACAAAATTTGGTACTGTACGAAAACCAACTGACAATGATTCAGGAAGGTGCACTTATAAATATGCCCCGGCTACATGTGTTGGTTGTGTCCTGGATGCAGATAACAATGGTTCAGGCAGGTGCAATTGCAAATCTTCCTCAGCTTAATAGTCTGTTTCTCCACCGCAACCAACTGACAATGATTCGGTACGGTACATTTGCCAATCTGTCCCGGCTAGAGCAGTTTTACCTGAGCCACAACCAGATAACAATGATTCAATCTGGTGCATTTGCAAATCTATCTCAACTAAAAGGGTTGCACCTGGACCACAACCAGATACATGTAACTAACCTCCATTCTGGTGTTTTCTCAAATCTGCCCCAACTCCAAGTTTTAACCTTTCGGTCAAACAACATGTCTGCCATTTCCCCTTCAGCTTTTGTCTTGTTGAAATCTATTCGTTACGTCCATCTTGAGAATAACCCGTGGCAGTGTGACTGTAGGATGGTTCCCTTCAGGCTAAATATTACTGAATTCCCTCTTCTTAAAGACCAGATTATTTGTGCACAACCTGCCAAGTTCCAGGGACAGAAGCTTGTTAATATCAATCCTGAAGAAATACATGTATGTGAAGAGCCAACAATATCAACACTGACTGTTGATATCCAAACCACATTATTGACCTCAACATCTTCAGCAACTGTTGCATTTGGCAGCACAGAAAGCAGTGTTACTTCAACAGCTATTAGCTTCACATCTGCCACAAAGCCCCTCGTTAACACATTAAAAGTTCTAATAACCATGAAGAGCCAACATTATCAACACTGGCTGTTATCCAAACCTCAATTACTTCTGCAGTGTCAAAATCTTCAGTTAGCAGCCCAAAAAGCAATGATAGCACAACGGCACGACAGGTAGTCTCTACATCTCTCACACAGATGTCACACAGTACATTAAGTAATGGTAATGACTGTTACAATGGCACCAACTCTCGCTACCACTGGTACTTCAAAAGCGATGCTAATTCTGCGGAAAATCCTGAAAGCCAAACAAAAACAACACTAACTTCGCCCCTTGCAGTCACTTCAGACAAACCACTAAACAGTAATTCTCATGACTGGACTTCCAGTTTGCCCCTATCTGTATTCATAGTCTCTGTCTATGGCCCAGTATCTGGTATTGTCCTGATTGGCTCTGTCATTCTCACAATGTGGTACAAGGGGACTCCCAGCAAAGTTTTTAGTAGCAACACAAATACTGCAGTTTCTGTAATGGCCAGTGGTGATGATAACCAGTACGAAGATATTGACAACCGTCTTGATCAGACAAGGCAGAGCCGGTCTCAATCTCTGAAAGTTGGAAATCTATCACATAACGAGTTGGTAGCTGCCTTAAAGCCAAATCCTATGTATGCTGGTGCGGGAACACCACAAAAGGACCCAACATCTACCAGTGATTATCATAATCAGACAGGATCGGGTCAGTCTCTAGCTACTCAGTCTCTGAAAGTTGGAAATCTATCACATAAAAAAGTGGTAGCTTCCTTGAAGCCAAGTCCTATGTATGCAGGTGTGGGAACACCACAAAAGGCACCAACATGTACCAGTGATCATAATCAGACAGGGCAGGGTCAGCCTCTAGCTACTCAGTCTCTGAAAGTTGGAAATCTATCACATAAAGAAGTTATAGCTGCCTTGAAGCCAAATCCTATGTATGCTGGTGTAGGAACACCACAAAAGGACCCAACATGTACCAGTGATCATAATCAGACAGGGCAGGGACAGTCTCAGGCCATCCAATCTCTGAAAGTTGGAAATCTATCACATAACGAGTTGGTAGCTGCCTTGAAGCCAAATCCTATGTATGCTGGTGTGGGAACACTACAAAAGGACCTAAAAACTAAAAAGTGCCAGTCTTAGGTCAATTCACTACATCCAACACCACAGCTACTGTAAAAGTCAGTGGTCATGATTGCCACTTAACTGAAATTTTGAAAAAAAAATGATGGCAGAATGAAAAGTAGTGGAAATTGAAAGACCCCAAAATTCTGGGTAAAAAGAATCATAATCTATGTATTACTAAGTATTTTGATGGTTTGAGAGGCTTGCACTGCTTTCAAAATCTGTTGTTGTGTTATTAGGATACAAGTTTGTATTTCTGATCTCCTTTAGAGACAAAAACTTTAATTCTAAGCATGTAAACTTTCATTTCTACGTTATATCAGTGGCTAGTGTATTTCTCAACAATGCTATTTGGAGACAATTTGGGAAAATATAACCGAAAGGTAAGCTATTGCTTCTTTGTAACATTTAATGTTACAAATTCAAATATATTCCAAAAAAATTATTAACTTGAGTGCATCGCTACACTGTCCTTGTTATGTTTTAATGAATAAAAAAAAGCCTTGAGGCGAACTTTGTGTTTTCTATCACTAAGTACGTTTATGGTCTGGATTGTGCCTCAAATTAGAATTTTTGTTGACACCTGTCACCATGGTGACTGGTGTTGGGTTACATAATGTTGCAATTTCATGGTCTGCTCTGCTCCTGTCACCATATACTAGTAGTACAATCATGTATGTGAATGTGTTTGAGTGAGAATTAACAGAGCAGACCATATGCGAAGGTTAACATTATACATTTGCTTGGCAAATGTTACCTTTCTAGATAAAAGTTCAAAATTCATTGTTTAGATATCAGCCCAGCCTTTTGTGTTAATTTCATGGCTCCTACTATAGTATTTTAGGCTTTAATAGGATGCCTAGACCTGTTTTTATTTTTAACTTTTTCGCCCTGTCGCTTCATATTTTTTCAGAAAAAATCCGAGAACCAACAAATTAAATTGGTGTGGCCTTATTCTACCACGGAATTAAGTCCCCGCGAAAGTAAATAAATTTATAGTTAATAGAAAAATTGGGCAAGAGTGATATTTTTCATACTGTGGCCACATAACAGCTTATTATTGAAAATGTTTATTTGTGAAGATAGAAATACGAATTTAAAGGTGCCCTGTACAATGTAGTTGCATTTTCATCCATTATTTTACAGAGATTGACATTAGTATCCTTCGTAATCAGATAATCCTAATCGGCCTTCTTCGCCACATATTATAAGTGCCTGGCACCGAAACGGGCCGCCATTGGTCGTTATAATTATATTATCAACTTCACATTAATTATGTACGGCCGTTCTGCACACCTGTGTAAAAACACATTTGGTATAGTCCATTCAAAATGGCGCTTTCGTACGACGGGAATACTCTGGGCTGATTTTTTCACAACTTTCTGGGTACTTTTAGACGTTTTCGTCGGTAGAATGTCTTTAGTAAGTGTGCAGCAGAATATTTGGGAGTTTTCGCTGTGGATTTGTGCCGTTCTGGCGATGTTTTGAGGAGAAAATGCGGATTTCCTGACCTGGCGAATTTTGGAGAAGACAAAAATGGCGAAACAGTTGGGAAGAGTAGCGTGGTATGGACTAATGGAGACGGCTTCGCTCATTGTTTCAGGTAAACCAGTACATTGTTTGGCTGACATTATTCCTTAGCAACTAGTAAGAACATGTCAACATATTCCGTAAGAAATGAACTATTTCTGTATTAGGTAGCAACCGTTCCGAATTTTACATACTAAGTAAGTAGGCTTAGAAAAGCCCATCAAGTTGCCGCGTTTTCAACAACATTTTCAATGTGCACTTGTAGAGTGTTGAATGTATGTGCATGTCTTTTTAGTCAGTTGTTTAGCGTTTTGTGGTTATATTTGTCGAAAGAAATTCTGCATTTACCAAACCATTTTCTCTATCTCCACGTGGTTCAAAACACCTGTTGGAATGTGGCCGTGTAATTAGTTATTTTTCCCGCCAAAAATTTTCGTAAACAAGATGGCGTCCTTAAAGCTTCAGGGCGCCGAAATGAATACGATACAAAACGGTTGAAAACTAGTTAATTCGAGTTGACCATTTACTGAATTACTTTTAAAAGGAAACGAGCAAGCTTTTAAATTGTAATTGATACACTGCAAATGATAATGAAGAACGAATTTCAGAGTAATTCAGTAAATAGTAATGACCAAGCCCACATATTTCTGGCGCAAACACTACAGATGACTACGCTTGAAGGTAGCAATTCCTGTTTTCAAAATATTTTGCGCCGAGTTTTTTCGTATTCCACATAAAGTTTCAGTTGAAGGGGGTTGATTTATTTTTTTGTTTCTATCCCCGTTTTTATGGTCATTATGTAGTTTTCGTCGAGGTATGTGTTTGTTTTAAAGTAAAGATATTTAAGGTAACGTTATGTGTGTGTGTGCATTGCTAGTTTTTAATTTGAGACAAGTGTCCAACTTATAATGTGTGTATGGTTAGATGAAGTCTGATGCAGTAGTGAGAACTTCTGTCTGAACCTGACAAGACAGAGTGGACCAGAACAGATGATTTGAAGACCCAAGAGGAATAAAAGGTGAGAAAAAAATCCCAATTATGCATTTTACCTACCATTTACTTGATATTATTTGAGACAAGAGTGTAACTTGTAATGTCTGTATAGTTAGGTGGCTGCTGACTGATGCAGTACTGAAGACTTGTTTGAACCTGACAAGACAGATTGGACCAGATGATTTGAAGACCAAAGAGGAATATCAGGTGAGAAAAATCCCAATATGGCATTTTACCTACAATTATTTGGCCTTATTTGAGACAAGTGTGTAACTTCTACTGTCTGTATAGTCAGGTGGCTGCTGACTGATGCTGTAGTGAGAACTTCTGTCTGAACCTGACAAGACAGATTGGACCAGAAGATCCAAGATAAATATCAGGTGAGAAAAATCTGAATTCTGCATTCAACCTGTTTATTTAACAATACTTCATGTTGTTTGAGACAAGTGTGTAACTTCTAATGTCTGTATAGTTAGGTGGCTGCTGACTGATGCTGTATTGAAGACTTCTGTCTGAACCTGACAAGACAGATAGGACCTGATCAGATGATTTGAAGATTCAAGAGGAATATCAGGTGAGAAAAATCCCAATTCTGCATTTTACCTACAACTATTTGGTCTTATTTGAGACAAGTGTGTAACTTTTAATGTCTGCATAGTTAGGTGGCTGTCGATTTATACAGGAGTGAAGACTACTGTCTGAACCTGACAAGATTAAGGTTGCTGCTGACTGATGCAGTAGTGGTGAATTCTTCATAAACCTGACAAGAGAAGATTGGACCAGACCAGGTGATTTGAAGACCGACGATGAGTCTCGGGTAAGAAAAATCTGAATTCTGCATTCAACCTACTATTTACTTAATTGTTATTTGAGACAAGTGTGTAACTTCTAATGTCTGTAGTTAGGTGGCTGCTGACTGATGCAGTATTGAAGACTACTATCTGAACCTGACAAGAGAAGGTTGGACCAGATCGGGTGATTTAGAGACACAAGAGCAAGATGACAACAACAACATCCACAGGTGAGACAGTGCTTTAGAGGACCTGTTTGACTCTAGCACTCTCCCCTTACGTCTTACACTTCATAAAAATAACACACACGTAGCAAAACATCTTTCACATTAATTTTGTGTTGCCTTATATAAGCACTTGTCTACATTTCTAGGAAGAGGCAAAGTACAAGGTCACAAGAGTGCATCTTTACCTGGTATCTAGGTGTCCATTCATACCTGGCATCAATTGTTCTTTTATATAGGTATAATTAGGGTCAGCAGTCCTGATGTTCCTGTCCAAACCAGGCGTCAGCGAACCAGCTGACTTAAAGTTAAAGACAGACCAAAGTGAAGAGATTGTATACAGGTGAGACAATGCTTTACAACTTTATTTTTCTATGTGAACATATCTAAGCAAAGGGGTTGTATGATTGAAGGATTTTATCTATTTTATCTTTTCTGGTCACTCAATGTTGCCTGGAATTTTTAGGGGAGCATCACACTAATTATTCATCATATCATTTAGATGTGTCCTGATGTTCCTGTCCTGACGTCCCTGTCCTGAGTGGGAGAAACGTGATGATGGACAACTTCTGTCCACACCACTCACTGACCAAATGATGTCTTGGCAAACCTGTTGACTTGAAGAAGACACAGTGCAGAGTTTGTACAGGTGAAACAATGCTTTACAACTTAAAGCCTTTTTCTGATTTGTTACAAACCCTGAGGCATAACACACAACCGGTAATGTGTTTCAAAACACCTTTCCATAGCCAAACACTTTCTATAGCTATTCAAGCATTATGATTACCGGTATCTTTGATGGTTAGTCAGTGTTATCTAAGATGTTTTTGCATCATACTACAGTAATTATCCTTTCATCCTTAGTTATGCGTTTCTTGACGTTCCTGTCCTGACTGGGAGAAACCTGTGATGACGGTTGACTTCTGTGTAAACCAGACCAGATCAGGAGTTTGTACCTGTCCATGCAGGTGAGACAATACTTAAAATCTTTTTTTTCCTCTTGGATTTATTACAAACTGTGGGATAACATGCTGCCAGTAACAGTTTCTAAACACTTTTAAAAACCTAAATTTTTGTACATGTATTCAAGCAACTTTTACAACTTACATGACTTATTCCTGTCCTCACATGTACTAGTATGTTAAGAACTCTAACGTGTAAAATGCTACAAGTAAATTGTAACATGTTTAAAAGCAGTTTTGTGGAGCCTAACTCCTTCAAAGTCTATTCAATCAATGGGATAGTTGAATTGCATGATGTTTTTCCATCACACTTATTATCCTTTCATATTGTTAGGTGTGTCCTGAGGGTCGGCTGTCTGTTCTGGGAGAAACCAGTTGACTTGAAGATGCAGAAGGAATTGAAGACAGCGGGCACAGTTGTGACTCACTTGTGAGTATAGTTTATTTGCTCAGCAACGCACTCATGCTAATACATAATCCACTTGTCCAGTCACTAAAGCTTGCACTGCTTTTAATTACACAGTATGTCACACTTTTATAGACTTCTTTTCACATCTTCAAACAATTAGTCCTACAAAAGAGGTTATAGTGTCTCCATTATAACTTCATTGGTTCCACATTGCACTTTCAGTCATTTGAAATACAGCACGTCACACTTTAATGGATTCCTTTTGCAACATTCTGCTACAACTTAACTATGATGATCATCGTAAACTTGCATGTTGTGTGATGCTTTAGTAAGGCCAATTGATGTTGTCA